GAGCTAATTACGTTTTTTATCATGTGAGAGGTCAGGGTATTAAGTAATAATATCTTGGGTAGTTGGGTATTAGTGGATTGATCCCAGGCAGTGATAACGGAAATACATGACTAATACCCAACTACCCAAGATATTATTATTACTAATTTTATGCATACCATTTGACATGCTATTATAATAACAATAAACGTGTACTAATGTTCATATTTTATGTAATATGAACATCATAGAGTTAAACCATTGGTAACTTTGGGTTAAGTAGTAGATCGATAATATGTATAAATATATGGGTATTATCATTTTATTAATTATATGGCTAAAGTTCACGTTACATCTCTAATAAAGGTCATGATGATAAAGATAAGATTGAATTACTCTAATTATTTTTTAAAATATAGCGATAATAAATGTAGCTTCGTTAATAATTTATTCGCATATTGAATTTTTTGATCAATTTGAGTTTGTAATAAATATCTGATATTGCATATTTATCTATGTTTTAAATGTGACAAATTCTTTTTTGCATGTATTTATTAGTTTATCCCTTAAACGGTTTTGCAGGCAAATTTGCCTGCAATTTACAAATTTGGATGAAGATCATTTTATATTTTCTTATAAAAATTAACCAATCATTTTTCTGCATTACGTAGGTATTGATTAACGTTTGATTAACATATTTAATAAATTATTATGCTGCGACAATTTCAAAAAAGTGCGAATCTAACTGTCTAAAGGATTTCTTAAAATTTTCTCACATACGATGCAGGAAATTTAAAATTTCAATCTTTATATAGATAATTAATTTTGAACCCGGACCACTTTTGTATATGATGTAATAATATTTTTTGGTTCGGATTCAAAAATAATTGCCCATATAGAGAACAAAGATAACGCATTAACTGGTAGCACATTGTAAAAATTCTTTAATTAACAAGTCGAAGAATCTGGAATTCACAACCTCTTTGCATAGAAATAAATAATATGTACAGTACGTACGTACGTACGTACTTAATAGCAACTATTCTATGCATACTTAAAATAAGCCACTACTGATTTTAGCTTATCTCCAGTATGTTAATTGACCTTTATTCTACGTATATAAAGTGATTAAGGTTTTTAGATTCCTGCATCGTATGATATTTTTATTGAATTTTTAATAATAAAATTTTTTTTATTTGTTTGTAATGGAAACTTCAAGTTTCAAAGAACAGGATGATGATGACATATACGTAGTAGAATTATCACGAAGTAGTCATGAAAATTATGAGCAGAATGAATTCGAAGATAATGAAAATTTTGATACTCAAAGCGAAGACTTTCAAGATGATGAACTTCAAGATGAAGAAATTAGTAGTTGTGGTCGGTGTGGTCGTGGTGATCGTGTTGGTCATCGTGGTCGTGGTGGTCGTGGCCGTGGCCGTGGCTGTGGTCGTGGTCATGATTAAAATTATGAAACTGAAATTCAGCAAAGTGCACAACTTCCTTCTCCCCCTTTTTTAATACATTTCAACATTTAAGACCTATGCATGAATTTACTTTGAACTTACCTGCTAGACATGAACTTTTTTTATTATCACCCTACTCAATTTTTAGTCTTTTTTTTCATTTGACCAAATAAATACAATAGTTCAGAATACTAATAGATATGCTGATTTAAAAGGTGCAGGGAAAGGACGTAAATGGGTTGAGTTAACAGTAAGGGAATTTAAAATTTGGTTGGCAATATTGATATATGCTGGTATTTTTAAATTACCTAGCATTAGGGATTATTGGAATAGAGATAACAGATTTTCAGAACATAAGATAACTACTTTTATGACTTCACTTTGCTTCGAACAAGTATGTTCATTAAAAACTTTTTTTTTTACTGTATTACTTGATTAAATTATTCAGTTTTTTTTTTTTTTTTTTTTTTTTTTTTTAGATTAAACGTTTTATGCATGTTTCAGACTGTTTTATTTCACCCTTATATTGGACTCTAAATTAGATCTGTTGGCGAGTCATATTCAAACAATTTCTTAATCCATTTGTATTCCGTCGTCTAATATATCAATTGATGAAATGATTGCACAGTTTTCAGATCGAAGTATGCATACAGTGAGGATTAAAAATAAGCCTACACCAGAAGGCTACAAAATTCTCTCTCTTTGTGATGCAGGTTACACATATGCCTTTATTTTTACTTCACGAATTCAAATTAATTTAGAAGTAAAACAAATTCTAGGTTTAAACAAAGTTGGAAATGATGTTTGCCACCTTGTTTTGCAATTACCTTTAAATAAATTTTTTAATGTATATATGGATAATTTTTTTTCATCAATTAGTCTTTTTCAATATTTGCACAATAGTAATTTTGGGGTATGTGGAACAGTTTGAACGAATAGCATGAAGTTTTTAAAAATACTTAAAGTAGATAAAAAATTAAATTGGGTTACATTATCTGGAGTAATAGTTGGTGGAGTTTTGGCAGTATTATGGATGGACAATGGACCAGTAAATATGCTAACTACTATTCATGAGATCACTGGAAATGAAAACAGAATTGAAAGAATATAACGTCAGCCTCGCAAAATAAGCTTCAATGCAACAAAAGTACGTGAGTTTTTGGGGCTACTAGTAAAAAAGCTTTACCAATTCCCTGAGTGATTGATGATTACAATCATTATATGGGTGGGGTAGATATAGCTGACCAGCTTTGTGGGTATTACGGTGTTCAATTACTAGTAAGAAGAACCTGGGTGCTTTTGTTTTTTTGGTTATTAGATACTTCTATTATTAATTCTTATTTGATTCTTAAAAAAGTGGAAAAAATATTAATCACAAGGACTTTTGAATCTAGTTAATATGGGATCTAATTAATGCGGGTATGGAAGAAAATAGCTTGGTTAAAAAGCCAAATATCCGAAATCAGGTTAAAGAATTAGCTAAAGATCTTGATACTGATCTCTCAAAAAAACAATATGTAACAAGTAATTTTGAACTTTCTTTATTAAGGTTAACTCCGGAAGGACATTTACCCGAATGGAGAAAAGAAAGAGAGAGCTGCATGTGGTGTAGGTATTTAGCAAGAAAAGAAAATGAAAAAATATCCAAAAATCTACCACAATCTCAAATTTATTGTATAAAATGCAATATATCTAGTGTTCTAAAAATGTAAATCGGATCAGATTCAGATTGTAATCTAATCCCAACCATCAGATTGGTTTTAGCTTCACAAATTCAGATTGGGCCCGGATTGAGCAGGATTGGGCCTAATTTAAAATTAGGGTACAAAATTTAGATCAATTACATCATAAGGAACCCATCCGGCAAAATTTCAAGAAATACAAAATCTCACTGAATTATCTGAAAATACTCATTAAGTTATCCGGAAATATCCTTTAGTTGTGGATAATTTACCTGTATTTTTCGAATAATTCCATAGGATTTTTTGTAAAATTATGCGCTTCAGAAATTTTGCATTTCAAACATTTAACGTTAACATTAAGCTAAATGAGTTCTCGCTGCAATAAATGCAAATTAAATGATTAATCGCCAGGTAGACTTTTAAAAAAAAATCTTATATGAAATTTTTTTTAAAAAAAGTCAGTTGATCACGTTCATTTAAAGTCTTATGTCATAAAAACCAAGATATTAAATTTGTATAGCCTTACGATGGTAGCTTTTTAATACTAAGTAGGGCTTCATTTCATTTTATTAAGTACAACACATAATAACATAATACTAACAAATACATATATAGTTACAAGTCAACCAATAGACTAAAAAGGCAGCTGCATGATGCTGCTACGTGAAACCAGGAACATATGTTCGATAATTTATTGAATAGATGTTTTAACGATAAACAATTTTTTTTATTATGATGAGCGATCAAGGATCAAAATTTATGTTCATACAGGTTTACTGTATTATATGTTTGATTTTGTTGTTTTAAGAGTGATTATATTCTATTAGAGGGTTTAATTATGCTGGTATTGGCTTTATTTCGTAATAATTGTTATTGGTTAGTTGATACAGTCAGACCTCTCTAAGTGCACACTCTTGGGACCACACTTTAACAACATGCATTTAGAGAATAATAAGAAAAGGTGCATTTATAGAGGTCAAGTATATATTTGGGCCAGAATCTGAGCGTGCATTTAGAGAGGGTGTGCACTTATAGAGG